CCCCGCGCCTCCCCGCGAGGGTTTGGCGCTGCAAACCCTGAAATGCTGCTGTCTGGGGGGCGCAAACCCTAAATTAGGGTCTGGGGAGCCCAAACCCTAAAAAAGGGTTTAGAGCTCGAGACCTCCTGCTGGAGTTTGCGAGGCTCAAAGCTGGCCTAGGGTTTAGCTTTAGTGCGACGCACAAACCTACACCGTGGTTTGCTCTACTCCAGAGCTTGCTGCAGCACGGAAACCCTAAATCAGGGTTTGCTGAATGCAGCAAGAAGACCTTAGGGTTTAGGGTTTAGGGTTTAGGGTTTACCTCTTTGAACTTCTGAGCAATGGCCTGGTCCAGCCGCAACACCTCGGGGTGTACAGACTTGACATTTTCCACTCCCGGAAGCGACGCCCAATCGACGCGCATCTGCGCGCAAACCCTAAACCCTAAACCCTAAACCCTAAACCCTAAACCCTAAACCCTAAACCCTAAGCCAAACCCTAAACCCGCGTAAACCCTCGTAAATCCCCGCAAAACAGCGCGAACCCTCGCATGCCCTGAGCTCCCGGCACACCTAGGCCGCCTGACCCTAAACCCTAAACCCTCGCAAACCCTCGCAAACCCCTGCAAACCCTAAACCCTAGACCCTCGTAAACCCTAGCAAACCCCCGAAAACCCTCGCAAACCTCCGCAAACCCCAGCAACCCTAAACCCTAAGCCCTAGCCCCCGAAGCCTCGCAAACCCCCGCAAACCCCAACCCCCCGCACCCCCCCAAACCCTCGCAAGCCCTCCAAACCCTAAACCCTAAACCCTAAACCCTAAACCCTAACCTGGGCGGTTTGCACTTTCTTATCCGCCTCCTCCACCAAAGCCCTGCACAGCTGAACCGCCAGTTCTTCAAATCCATATCTCTTTTGCTTTCGAGCTTCGAAGTACTGGTCCCTCAAAGTCTCTATGTGTCTCTTTTTGCAAGGGCCCAAGTAAAACTTGTTCTGCGCAAAACCCTAAACCCTAAACCCTAAA